TTATTAATTTAATTGGCACATTTTTAATTGACTTTATTTATTGGTCCATTCATATATTTCTGCTTTTTTTTTCTAGTTATGTCAGTGTCGGTCCTCCATACTGCAGAACTTGGTAATTCAATGTCTGAATCAGGTGTGTTGGAGCAGAGAAAAAAATAAAACATGCAGGACTGTGGCCCTCGAGGACCAGGATTGCCCACCCCTGTTTTAGATAAAACTCATTTACAGAGTGACCTTAACCTACACCAAATGCCCAACTTTTACAAATATTCAAATTAAAATCTGTGTATTTGTAACTGAGGTTCATCATTTGAAACACATTGCGTGAGCAGGACATCTCTTAAAGAGCACAATCGTTAGGCCAACCTTTGTTTTTGTTTGATTTTATTGTTTATTCTGTTACTGTATTTTGTTCATTGTTTGTATTTTATGTTCCTGTACAGCACTTTGGTTTTTGTTGTGCTTTATAAATAAACAATGATTATGATGATGATGAYGATGATCTCATCCATGAGATTGTGCCTATTTTTGTAGGTTTGACCAAATTGCTACAACTTCATCATTTCTCAAGGTAAAATACTGTTAGTCTAAGAAACTGTCTTCAAGGAAAGCTAGGCCTTTAATTCTGGATCAGAGTTGGAACTTTTCTTTTTCTAATTTCTGTACATTTTACTTCAAGGGCTACTTTTAAGCCTTTCAGCAATTTAAAATGTATTTCACTCCCCCCCTGATTTTTCAACAGTCACCAGGGAGCTGTGAAATCTGTTTGAAATATAAAGAAAAGGCAAACATAATTTTACACTGCTAAAATTGCCCTTCAGTGCAAACAAATCAAGCAGTGATTAACAAAAAAGGCTGAAACTAGCAAACAAACCAGCGTGCCGGCAATAAATGCAGCTTCTCTGTCCCCCAGGCTCAGACAGTGTGATTCTTTTAGAAAAGGCTTCCAGTAAGATGCATACAACGGGAGAAGGGGGTTCAAGTGAGCACAACTGTTTGAAATTTTTCATAAACATGAAACAACTTCTGTCTGTTACATTGGATGGTATTTCCAGCAAACTTTCAGCACCTTGGATAGCAACACAACAGCCAGCAGAGATTCAGTAGAGAAACAAAGAAAACATGGAGATGAAAGAACGAACAGGAGGTGGAGGAAGAAAGAGAAACCTGAGTGAAGATAGAAAAAGAGAAGGAGAGTGAAGAGAAGAACTCGGCTGCTATTAGGCTATTCACAAAGTATAAACCAAGCCAACATGAGCTGAAGGATTGAAAACAGAAATAGAATGAGAGCGCTTTATGAGCTCCATGCAACACAGGAACTGATGATCTAAATCCACCCTCACAAACTGGTAAACCCTAAATCTCTGATAAATAGTGCAGCCAGTATTAAACATCAGTCATAGAGCACAATGTGTGGATTAAAGGGCAGAAATCTCTGAAGACTAGACTAACAACTAGCCAAACAAGAGCTCATTTATTGTATCTTTTATAGTTTTCAGGCTTACAAAGCAATTCTTTCCCCAAAACCATGTATCACAATGCTACATTGGCTAATAATAAACTTCTGTAGTTTTACATCAGACTGTCCATTTCCATCCATCCATTTTCTGTACACGCTTATTCCTTTCAGGGTTGATTGGGTCACTGGTGCCCATATCCAGCAGTCACAGTGTGAGGGGCGGGGTACACCCTGGACACGTCTCCAGTCCATCACAGGGACACATAGAGACAAACGAGACAAATGACCATTCAGTCTCTCACTCACACCTCAGTCCCCGGGTCAGGATTTGAACCAGTGACCTTCTTGCTGAGAGGCATCAGCTCTACCAACTGAGCCACCAACATCAGACTGTATATTTAGCATGAATCTGTTTTTCCAAATGAACAGTATTTGGGTTACCACACACGTATGTGTGCTGAGCAAACACATGCAGTAGTAGTGCAACATAAACCCTGCATGTGTATTTTTAATGCAACGCAGAGAAACACAAACAATAAAGAAACATGCACATTTCAATTAAAAGAACAAGACGTGCATGGTGCGGTCAGAGTTGATAGGCTAATCCCAGTGCATTCTGGGGCCGTCTTCCTCCCACTTCTAATCTTTGTATCTGCTCTGGAGCCAACAAACTATGAATGACAGGGTGAGGAGACAGACTCAGAGAGAATGGTATTAATAATAGTAGTAATATTTCTATACATGATATTGTCATTGTGTGAATGCTGAGTCAGCATACTTTGTGGTAATTTAACCATTTTAAACTAAAACATAAAGCTTGATTCATAACAATGTGTGATAACTTTTGTTATATATAAAATGTTTAACTATATTTAAAATAAATTTCCCAATGAAAGACATTGGGGATTTAATATTTATTTCAATGACTTTGTTCTCTTTGAAATCTGCTTTAGCACATTTACTCTGTTTGTCTTGTTATGTTACTTTTAGGTTTTTACCATTCTGTTCCTTTTAGCTACACTTTAACTTATTTTAGCTACTGATTTGCTGATTTTAGATGTAACAACTATTTAACAAATGTCGGCAACATGACGGCTCAGTGGTTAGCACCATCGCCCCACAGCAAGAAGGTCGTTGGTTTGATC